AAAGTTGTGACATACAAACAGCACCGAGAAAGCTGAGCAGGTACAAAGTCAAATGCAAATTGGTCTTTGAGGAAAAAAAAGAATAAAGAGGGAAAGAGATTTTCATTCTCACAAAGACATCCCGGGCAAATGAATTCAGCAAACAAAAATGAAACGTTGACCAAACAAATTGAAAATAAAGTTACAATGCAATCTGATCCCTGCATTACAAACATTTGCCAGGTCTGTTTAAGGAAACTTCAGGAAGACTTGGAATGGTAACTTGTTCAATGAAACATTATAAATGCAATCTATCATATGAGAATGAATTACACAGAAAGGTACATGTTGAATGGCTAAACTATTCTTTAGCCAGCCAGAAGGCTTTGAGGTGCTTTCTGCCTGCCAGTCAATTTATATGCATTTTATAAGCAGCTGTGTGACTGCGTAGTCATTGTTAACTAACTTAAAATATAGAAATGTTAATACATTGAAAAAAATGAAATAAAGAAATATAAGCTATTACATTTTACAAGACTGTAAGCAAATTACACTGAGCTAAATATTCATGAATCAATTTTTTTTAGCCAGTCAGAAGACTTTGAGGTGCTTTCTGTCTGTCAAACATTTTTCATGTTCGCAATTCCCATATTCAAAGAGCATGAAGCTACTGTGTGGCAGTATAGTTACTGTTAACTAAAACTATTAACAATTATCTTCAGTGATTGAAATAAATCTGACATAAAATAAAATTTAAATATTGGATGAAAAACTTAGAAACTTTAGAAATGTTGCCTTGGCAATTGATGGAAATAAAAAAAAAATCATTATAATAATATAAATAAATCGAAATAAAGTAAGAGTAGAAATGTAGCTAAGTAGAAATGTAAAAAAAAAAAAAAACTGGAATGTTAACCTGCTTTTTAAAAACGATATAAATACAAGCTATCATATTTAACAAGACTTTGGAGAATGAATTACATAGAAAGTTATGTGCTGTAAGTGATCTTTCCATAAAATGTTCATAATTCAGATTTTTTTTCTTTAGCCATTCAGAAGACTTTGAGGTGCGTTTTCTTTAAATAATACTAAATTAACACTGCTGTGTGAAAGTTGAAGCACTGAAGTATTAAAATTCAAACGTCAACTTCATTAGCAGTTGTCAATTGTTAGCTTATTGACAACAGGGGGCGTGTAGCTAAATCTGGTGGAAGAAAGGCTAACATCACTCTGTCCGTGAACTAGAAACCTTAGCGGACAGAGAATATGAAAATATTTTCAAACTGTTAAAAACAGAATACAGTCAAGACTGAAAGACCTAGTTTTATCATCTTCTTTCAAGGCCTCTGTTGCATCAGCTTTGTCTATAACCTTGACTACATCCCAGCCTGAATTTCAATGAGCGAGAGTTTGTGTTATGTCGAGAACGTTGAGTCTTTTTTTTAAATCAAAGTTATTTTGATATTCTAGCCGTATTTCCTCATGAGAGGGTCATGTGAGAATACTTTCATACCTCCTGTATG